GTGCCAAGTGCGATCCCTAGTACAAAAAAAAAAATACAACTTGGGGTAGCACACTCATAGTGCTAAAAAATATTTGTTGAGTAATGAGTTTATATGTTCTTCATTATTGGTGGCCAGGAGGGACACTGGAAACCTCCATGGTGGACTAGGGTTTTATGTGTTAAATGTTATCTTAGTGGGCTCTGAGATTTTTATTAGAGTGTGATCAATATAATATGGGTGAGCACTGAAAAGACTTCCCCCCAAACAAACAAACATCTGTTGGGATAACCTCAATGTAAGCCATTTTCTCTTTGCCTAAAGAAGACTGTTTTAAATCTTAGTTGAGAAAAAAATCTTGGCTTGATTTAAGTTTACCTTAGAGGAGAAACAATAAAGAAAGGATTCTACTAATTACCCTCTCTGGGTACTTCTTCTCCTTGTTAAATCTAAAGAGAGATCTGACCAGAGCAGTGCGCTAAAGGCCCATTTATAGTTCATATTTCCTACTACTTACATCTCTGATGATTGGAAACTGATTTTGAACAAGTGGTTGGTTATATCAAAGGCTTTGATTATTAATTCATAGCTGTTAGTTGAATTACACAGGTAAGAAAGTAACACTATCGTTCCAGAAATTTAGCTGTGGTTTCTCTGGATCACGTTTTTGTAGTGTTCTTGGGAATAACTTATGTTTTGTCACTAGTAGTCTTTTCAGAATTGCCTAATTTTTTCTCATTATGGTATACCACATGGGCCAATATGGAACAGCTATTTCTGAAATTATAGGAAAGATCTTGGCAAAACCAAGTTACTATCTTTTTCCTCTATTTTAGGGCATGGACTAGCCATATAGGTTTTCTACCTTACAGTGATCAGCCATTCAAAAATAAAAAGTAAAAGAGAGAAAAAATTATGATAAAATATTACTCATTAAGAAAGCAACACATGTAGAAATTAAAGACAGCTAAAGCAAAAATACAAAATCTAAATAAACAGGGAAAATTAGAGTTTTGCAAGATATTTTGTCTAAAATTTAAATAACCAAAAACACTAAAAGATGTTTTACATGTCACTTCTGAGGTCTAGTGCATACCAAGTGTCTTTGTAGTATGAAAGGTAAGTAGAGACTAAGACCTTTATAGTGTAGCCTCATCTGGAAAATACAAGTCCTCAGCTATCAGCTCCTGAAAAAAAATTCATATTAGTCTCTCTTTGGCCCCAAAGAGACAAAAGTTTGAAAGTCCTTCTTGTAGTGGAAGAGTCCTTATGTGACTTCGTATTTAAAATATGAAAAATAAAAGTAATATCTCAGATTCCTCTAAAATTCAGATCCATTAGATACCCAGATTCCAATTAGAAGACCACTTGTAAATTCTGTATCTGAAGCTAATCAAAACAACCATTACACTATAAAATCATAAAATAATATTCTGGTAAAGAGACTAATGAAAATTTAGAGAGAGAATAAAAAATACAAAACCAGTGGCATAAATTGGATCAATAGCTCATTTTTAAAAACTGCAAAAATAATTTTAAAAAGCATTTCATGATTCATTTTGATATAGTTGCAAACATCTTGAAAATTATGCCTCCAATTAATGTAATTAACAATGTTTGTACTCTGTTTTCTTTCAAAAGTAATCTATGGCTCCTTCCAAAAATTATTTTGCATTTATATCTGGATGACATCATACCATTTATATTGATGTGCATGGTATGACAAAATACTATCCTTCTAATCTTTGAGTCTGCATTGTGCATTAAGGCAAAATTAAACTGCCCAAGTTTGTATATAATCACATTATTCTATACTTAGCATTAAATTTTGAAAATTAGAAAAAATAATATAAAACTAGTTTATTTGAAAAGTTGCAGAAAGAAAAGTGCACGAAATATTCAGCTGAGTCATTTAAGAATAATAAAGTGAAGGCAATGATGACTTAATCCTCCTATCCTTCCAATCAAAACTAAAAGTGAAAGTTCATGTTATGAACAGATTAAGTGGAATAAATGATGTTGACTATATTGTTAAAATCAAAGGCAAATGCTGTTTGGTGGAAGAAACCCCAGGAAGGAGGATTTAGGACAAATACTTAAGGCCTTGGTGAACTCTATTAGAGAATATAACTCCAAGCTCACATTTTGAGTCATTTTTGTTGTTAAACTTATTTTCTATTGTTATTTTAGGCAATTAGACCAAGTAAATTTTTGACTAACATAAATAGGAAGAGAGTATGCACAAGTTTATGCTGATGTGGGGCTGTTCTCAAAATCATCCTTCTGTGGGTTGTTTCCTGTCTACTTTGGCACTGCACCCCAGTCTCTGGTATTTTTCTTGATTGATATTCTACTCATTATGCAAGTGGTATTTCACTTTGAACATGCTTGTAATATGATCCACGACATGGATGCTTGTTGTTCAATTCAATTTCTTGTTGTTAGGTATTAGTCAGGAACACTCTGGAATACTCATGATGACTCTCAGGCCTCTTTGCAGTTGATATTTTTTGATGAAATACATTCAATGGACCCTCCATTCACTCATACTGTTCACTTCCAGACACTGATACCACCAAACCGCTGAGCTAAATCCCCGGCCCACAAATCTTTTTACTAGTTTTTGAAGCCTATATTCTGGAGTCACCTGTTCCTGATGTTACAATCATGCATCATGACTTCAAATTACTTAACCTTTTAAAAACTTACTAAGTGTAATAGATTTGGGGATAGGAAGTGAATGTGATAGGTAAGGTTTTCTTATCTGTAAAAATTGGTTACTAATAAGATGTTTGGAGGATAAAATGTATAAAAATGCTTAGCATCCTGCTCAATAAATGTTCATATTAGTATTTTGATAAAATTGCTTTTGTGTGCAAGTGGTGCTAGAATTGAAACCCAGGCCCTTGCAAGCCCTGTGCTACTGAGCCACACGGCCATCACTGGGAAAACGTTTAACCTCTCTCTACAACTCTAACTCCTAATAATTTAAAATTATCCAATTTTAATATAAAGCTATTCCATAAATTATTGACACTGGAAGTGATCTTTTCTATAAATACTGATGAAATGTTTTTAGACTCAAATGGAATATAACACAAAATCTTTCACATTTGGTCAGTCAAGAAAAAAAGGATATCAATCAGGATCTAGCTTTCTAGCTTTTTTTTTTTTTTTTTTTTTTTTTTTTTTTTTTTAAAAAAAGACGGAACTACTGAGCTAAATCCACGGCCCCAGATCTAGTTTTTTTTTTTTAAAGAAGGTGCTATATTTGAGTGTAGATTTGTCTAATCTCTAAATCTCTTTCAAAACTTTCACAAACATTTTAAATTTTGGATTTTTAAAAAACAAACCTAAATACACAACTCTTAAATGTTACTTGTTTTGCATCACTGGCATAAAAACATCAATATTTTAACTACTGCCATATCAGCCCTCGTGTATGAGGGAGTCAACTCGACAATTGAAAAAAAAATGGCAGTTCTGTATCTCATAAAATTTAGATAGAGAAAATGATTACCAAAGAACCAACAAAACCTATTGATGTTAATAAAATGATTACAGAAATTATAAAGTTTCTGTTTACTCAATGGAGTGATTTGAGAATTATACAGAAAAAACATCTGTAATGGTGGTAGTTTGCATAACCTATAGATTACTTGTTGTTTCATGGAAAGCCTAATTAGCTATATTTTACTAAGGGTTTCAATGTTATGCCATGTAAGACTTTTGAAGAAAATAAGGTTTGGAAGAATCATGTTGTTTATAAATTGTCACTCCTTTTAAAATTCCATTGTTACCTTTTTGGTCCTTATATAAGAACATCTGAACAACAAATGATATCCTTTAAAATAGGTACTGGGAGCTTTTAGTTTGAAAGTTGGCTGAAAACCCAAAAGAGCCCTTTGAAAAAGTCCTCAAAGCCCCTCTTCCCGGGCTGCTCAGCATCGGGAAGGAGTCTAGGGCACTGGCCCTCCTGCCTCGTCATCGCCGCGTTCATGGTTGTCTGAGCCGGGTTCCAGTCCACGGCAGTCCACGCCTCCATATCCGCGGGCGTGCGCCGCTCTGGGAAATCACATCAGAAGCCCATTGAACAGCCGGAAGAGCCAGAGCTAGGAAAGCCCAGCTCTCCCTGTAGCCCCCGCTCTCAGTGGGGTCCCCTTCCCTGGGCAGCGGGGCTGCAAGTACCTCCTCAGCCGCCTCAGCTGTCGGCGTTCAACTAGTGGGCTGCCCGTCTAGCTCCCG